TCTGAACACTTGGGGTTAGCTATGCAACATCAATAAATACGAAAATCTATGCATGCCATAGAGAGCTTGACACCTATCTACTGAGCGATACCCTAGTGAAGTCAATACATAGGAAGATGAAACAAGCAGCACTGTTGAAAAATGCAAACATGAGGTGTCATGAATTTGGGGAGAGAAATAACACTGGTATAAAGCACTACCTAAAATAGCTGTCCTACCATGTCATGTGGTACATATAACCCAAGACTATTCCATAATTGTCAAGAGTTTCCTTAAGAGCCTGGACATAAAAAAGCAGTGAGCCCCAGAGGTTGTTGCTGCTTTGCCTGTGTGACTCTGGAATCACAAGATGACTGCTCAGAGACACAGATGCTGAACAGAATTACACTTCACAATTCCCATGCTGCTCTCTCTCTGGATATATTGATAAAGGCAACATGGGTTTCTTTTTATTCCCCTTCTGCCATCACTGCTCTTAGTATCTAGACAGATTTGTCAGGAATAATGAGATAAAATCTCTTTCCAATGACAAAATACTGCATCTTACTTTCCTCTAACCTGCTTAACTGTTTATCCCTTCTAATAGTCAGTAGAGACACAACAGTCTCCTGAGTTTCTAAATGGCATTCTGTTTCAAGTGAAGATCACAGCTGAGCCATTTCTATAGCATGATGAAGAACTGGAGATGACAGTAAAGCTCTGAAAACAATTTACTATGGCAGTGGGAAGTCAGGAATGTAAACTGGGCACACCTTACTCATACACCATTGCAAGAGCCTCAGCACGCAACTTAAGTAAATGAAGTTTTCTAACAGTCCCTGGTTGCTGCATTACATATTGCTTGGGTGATAAAATGTCCAGAATGATGAACAAAACATTCACAGAAATCAGACAGCAGTAATGCCAGATGCATCATGAGGACTTGCTTGCAAGGAGAAAGCACTACAAGAACAACTCTATAAGGAAGATTTCCTCTATAAGACCACTAACATGATAACTACCTCAGGGTACCACAGCACAGATGGAAGAACTACAGCAGGAAGTACAATATGTACTCACACGGATATGTTTATTTGATGAAGAAATATAAAAATGCTTCACTATATTTACACACATGGGCTTGCCAGATCAACCAAACCTCGCTCCTCGAGCACGGCTCATACAGTTGGTTCCTGTGACTTCTCCTTATTCATGGCATCATACACCGCATCTGCCTTGTAGCACTGCAGTCTCTTTTTCACTGAAGAACTCCATGTGCAAAATAGAGTCAGCACCCCATCACATCTGGTGTGGGTGCCCACAGAGGTGAGAGCACTGTCCTGATCCTGCACAGCAACCAGGGCCTTGTCACACATTGAAGGCCTTGCTCCCAAAGGCAATCTGCTAGCAATACATCACCCAGCTGCAGCCGAGCGTTATGGGCCCTTCCATATCAAGTGGCTCCACATGCCTAGGCAGTGTAGCCACTGCAACACCCTGCAACGCCTCCACCCCCCGATAGGATGCTGCAGACCCCTCCTTCCACTCTTGGGACAAAAGCAGTTTCAAGGCATTTCAAAGGTCCGTCTACATCATTTACTGGGTGCCTTCATTGGGATGGGCTTCATCCCAACAACTGCCCTACTGTCATTAGAAAAGCTAAAGGCATGCAAAATGAAGTCCTGCTTGAATACATGTAAGTCTGAAAAGTTTAGTACCCAGCACCTAGCAGAAATCTGTAGCTGGGGGGGGAAGGAGCGTTCAAAAAGATTCCTACTTTTCTAAGTGTTTTAAAAAAACGTGGGGAAATGTTTCTATCTTTCTCACATTCTTTTCAAATGCACTGATCGAAGTGTTTACAGCAGCTTGAGCTGTCAATTTACAAACTTACTGCTGCTCCGCACACAAAGCAGTGTTTTGGGACAAATATATGAATATATCCACATGGATAATTAACAGCTTGCAGTTGGGACTAATTGCTACTCCCCTGAGACTTTGCATTGCATCCATTCAGAACCATCAACTATAGTTATTTGATCACAAGCTACAGTGGTTTGAATTACATGAAAATCTGAGTTTTCATCAGAAGCAGCACCAAACTTCTAGTAAACTTCTCCAGAAAATCTTGAAAATATGGTTGAGACACACCTGGGAAATTGTAAAGTTCAGAATGTAGTTAGGAAGAAAACAAGATTTACATTTTTAAAACTGTCCTAACTGTTTTGAAGGGGCATAAACTCTCATTTTTCAATACTGTGGACTGGTACAACCCACTGCCATTTTGTCTGACTGCCATGACTGTGATTCCAGCCATTTTTATGGCTGTGCAAACAGAACTTGTGTCACTGCTTCAAAGTAGGTCAGTAACTGTAATTCCTACTTTACAGATAAGGAAATTGGAGCAGGGGATGACAATGACTTTGTGAAGACAAAATTTAAGTTGGGAAAATAAAAAGGCAAATTCAGAACCTGGCTTCTCACTACTCTCAATTTTACACTATACTAAATCTCATTCCCTTTCAAAATGAAAAGGGTTGGTAGCACTTCCTAATACGCCACTCATGAGGCCCAGACAATGTGTCTCCTAACAATGCATCAGCAAAAGTTGATTTTCTCTCAAGTTGTGATTAGGCAGCAAAGAAATATTACACACAGATTTTTCTTAACTGTTCATTCATGTTTAGTGAGCAATTCAGCATTACACTTCTCTTTCTATGGCAACTGCAATCATAAAGTTTTGCAATATGCCTCTCAAAAACTAAGGGTGAGTTCAGTCAGAAAGCATGTCTTCCTTTGAAATATTCAGGAGCAGTTCCTTGAAAGGATATATTGACATTTGCAAAGCTCAGTAAAACTAGTCAGAAATCAATGTTAGCCTATAAAACACTAACATTCTCTTGGGAATTAACCACCATATATAGCTGAATTCATGATTTCCATTGATTTTTATTTAAAAAACAGTATTCTGTCCCAATTTTAGTGTGTTCGTTTAGGTATCATGCAAAAACATCAAGACTTTTTAAAGCGTATATAGAATAAAAACCACAAAAAGTTTTGGTTTTCTTTTCCACTTACATAATTAATAAGCTCTACTTATGCTTTCTTGTTACTGCAATGTCATTTTTTTTGCCACTACTGGATCCCGAGAACACAAACCCAAACTGAAGTCACAACACACAGTGATTCCCAAGGAATTAAATGGCAGAAGGAGCAACACTAAGAACACTAAGTGTTGAGCCAATGTCCTTGATAAAGTCCCTAACACTGGCCACTAAACCTGAATTTTCCTGTCAATGGTAGGTAGGGTGCCCTCCTCCACATCCTTACAAGGCTTGACTTTAAACTGCTATGCACCTCCCATCTCAAAATGGCATCAAACATCTGATGAGGTATTTCAAGGAACATATCCAATATTCACAAGTGACTGAATATTTAGATCAAACTAAAGCAGGAAATGTACAGGAAGAAAGTGGCCAAGAAGTGCTGGGAAAATGAACTAGACTCTGTCGTACTGCAAAGTACAGATGGGTAAATGCGCTGAGACAGTGAGAAGAAAGGAAATGTCATAACTGTGGGGCAACAGAAATGGAGAAGGCTAAAAACTGAGATAGAAAGGAACAGGCAAACAAAAGCAGACAAAGCATTTTTTCATGAATCACAGGCCAGAGTAACTGCTTCCTAAAATGCCATCCTAAAAAGGCATCAGCCAGGCAAAGGGACATGGAGTCCACAAGCTGGACACTTAATAATCAAGCCATATTTATCCTCTGATTTCCTTCTTTCACCTATTTCAAACCTACCTGCTCTTTGGTCTCAGATTTCTACCATCCCACATGCCCACACTCTTGCTACTCTTAAAGCTCAGTGACGCTGCCAAAATGCCCATCACTGACTTTCAGTGCTGATTTCATGTTACCTCTCCAGCCCCTGGCTACGTGCTGCATTGTTTTCTGAGTATCTGAGCTGTGCTCTAAGGCTCCGATTGCTCTGCATTTGCACAGGATCCAGGACATGAAGACTCTGAAGCTCTTCAAAGCTGGATCTTCCACATATAGGTAGCTAGATCCTTGGCAGACAGCTCGCTCTTCCAAGTCACACTATCTGTCACCCAAAAGAGCAATCCCACCAAATGGACATACACTTGCAGTAGTTTTATAGCTGAACTGATTCCTGATAACGTAAGAATCGGGCACTCAGTCTTCCAGTAAATTCAAAATACCCCCATTCTCCTCATCTCTCTGTATCCTCTGATTTACTCATTTAAGAATAGAAAAGCTGTTGTTTCTAAGGAACTCCGGTATGTAACCTACATAAATACTTGCAAACATTCCACAAGATACTGTGTATGTCTTTAAAGACCTAGATATGGTATTTTGAAATATCTAGTTTTATGCACATGGGAATCCTAGCTTCACTGAAAATCAGACAGATTTATAATAATATTTTCCAAAGCACTGGATATGATTTACCTTACAATTTTTACTTTCAAAGGGATTTAGTCATCTAGGTCATGTAAGTGTTTAGAAAGTGTTATTTTTTCTCTGCTCCCGCTCCAGTATTTCTCATACTGACTACTTTAGGTACTCAACTTCAGTGCAACTCAAAGTGGACATTCTCTCTGTAATCAATGGACATAGACAGTTCCTTCCAAATGGTGAATCACAGCATCTAAGATGCCTAAAAAGTCAGTGTGAATACTTATCTGTGTATTGTGTCTACGTTTAGGCAAGCGGTTTTGTCAAGGCTGGCCTTCCAATGTACCATAAAGCAAGGACATACCACAATTTTTCTTTTATTAAGTGTTTGGATACAGACAAATCAGGTAAGGTTTTTTTCATGCATATGACTTCTCTGAACATCAAGGCAGGAAGGAGCCGAGATATCAGATGCAAAACACCCACAATTCCTCTTAAACCACAAGAGGTGCAGGTACTTGGCAACTTTCATGTAAATAACAGCATCATAATAGCAATTTATCTTCTACTGCACATTGAACAAAAGAAACACAAATGAAAAGTTACCTGAGCACCATAGACTCGTTGCATTGCCTGAAGCAACTGGTTTGTATATTCAGTAAGGGTTCCTGCATCTTCTTCAAATACACTGAGCAAAGACCGAGTCTTCAATAAAAGAAAAAAAGCAAATGGTTTTAGTCCCAAGTGAAAATATTAAGAAGATTCATAAATGACTGTAAATAGATGGTAGCATAAAATACAAATCATTTCAGAAATAATAAGCCTTTAGCTTTGCATGATTCTGTTTATTCAGAATCTCAAAACATGTAGAAATTGGTCCTTCTATTATGGATAGGTAAACTGAGGCTTAAGGAAGCGAAGTGATAAAATGCTGTGGCCAAATCCTGACTCCCAGTCTCTTGCTCTAACTAATAGACATTTCTTCCAATATAATCAGGAATGTAAAAAATCCTGAATATCTGCCGGCTGACTACAGTAATCCAAACCACGTTAAGGACTCTGGGTCAAACACCACTGCTTCCTCACTTTACTTCTCTAATGTCAGACTGCATTAAAAGCACCCCTTTCCATGAGATAATTTACAGAGTATTATTCACTCTCAACTGTCTTGAGCAACTCTTAAAGGGCCACTGCCAAAGCTAGCTGACGTAATGGGACCAAACAACTGAGTGTTCATCTACAACAACAGGCGGAGAAGCATACACCCACTCAGAGATACCCTGTACTTTCTCCATTCTGCTAGCTCATCCTTGTCAGCAAACGGGGGAAAAAAAAAGAGTGTAATGACTTGTGTTATCTTAAAGACATGAATTCCTTTGGTTTGTTTTGGTGGAATCATCAGGAACAAAGAATTATGTTGCTGACACAGCTCCTGAGATGGGAAACAAAGATATCTCAGTATAATGCCGAGTTCCAGAATTTGCTAGATCAAGACAATAATGAAAGAGGGAAGGCTGTCCCTTTAACAAAGTCATGATCCATCCTGACTCTTAACTCTGGTAAATCCAGTCTATTTGATGCTAACTAGCAATGTCTTTCCATCTGTACAGCTAATTTATATGACATTAATTAGTTTCATCTGCTTACATGAGGGGCACGCATAAACTCCAGTACTTCCATAATCCTTTCATAGTCCTGTAACAGAGCAAGTGCTTTATCTATCCTCATATTACAGGAATCTCTAAGGTACCTGAAGTATTGAGGTTCAAATCTGGGAAATTTATTTCAAAGCTTTAAGATAGTTTTAAGTCGTTCCGCTGTTTTAACAGAAGGCACGTGTACTTCCCCAAGGCATTTATTCTTCTCTGCAAAACTCTTTGCCCAGACTTTATGTTTGCCCTGAAAAACTCAAAATCGGCATCCTTCAAGAACCCTGGCGTAAGATGAACTATCATTTAATCTCTGCCGAGAAGTACCTAAGCCAGAAATTAGTGTTGCTTAGCAGTTAAAGTACATGACTTGGGAGTCAGTCCTCGGGTTCTGCTCTAGACATTGTACGGGAGTACTTCCATACTTTGAGTAACAATAAAGCTCTCAACATTTCAGTCTGCTAATGTGCTAAGCTGCTACAATACTTCCTACCTTAGAGACACTGGCACTCAATGCATTTGGGAAACTAGTTTGAGATCTTAGCATGTAAGGAGATACGTAATACAACGCACTGTTTTCAAATAAAGAGAACATAAAAACCAAAGAACGGCAAGAAAGTCAAGTCAATGAAATGGATACTGAGAACCCAAACTTATAAAGGATCTTTGTGCAGAACTTCCCTACAAGGACAGTGCCATGATTTTGAGAGTTTTCCACACTAAGCTATTATTTCAGTAATTGAAAACATACTGCTTTTCAAAAATATCTGGGTTTAAATGTTTTATCTTCAATGATGCATTAAAACAAGCAAAACCAATGTCAACAAACTATCTTCTAGCTATACAGTGCTCATCTTCCTTGTTTTGTGTTACAACAGCACATGAAATGCACAGGGTATGAAGACAGTTTAAAAATAGATCTAGGGAAGGCAAAAATGATAAAACTTGACACAATGTTTATCAAGACAAATCTCAAGCCAAGACCAAGAAGTTATAAAGAAATTGCCTGAAGTAGGCTACAAATCACACATTTCTGCATGCTGGAAAAGGTTTCCAAACACAGGAATGTCAGCTACATTCCTAAATCTTACTGAATTTTTGCAGGTTCAGTTTTTCAGATGTCTAAATATGGGTTCAGGTAGAACAGCTCTGGGAAATAATTTCTGAAAGTCTTGGCCTCAGTTATTAACACATTGTTAAAAAGAATATAAAAAATAAATGATTCAAGCAGTTTGGAAGTTATTCTTGGAACCTTTTATATTTAAGAACACCATTTTAAATCACTGCAACAAAACACCAGCATGTGTATATTTTCATTGTTACTGTTTTGACAAATTCTGGAATAGCAGCTAATGCTGCTGAAATAAATCAGTAATCCAAATATTAAGCTAACATTTAGGAGGCCTCATTAATAGCACCATTATCTTGGCTTCTGGAAACATAGGAAAAAAAAATTTCTACTTTTATGTAAGTATTTCCCTTGGTTTTAACATGACTGCTTACATAAATTTCTCTCCTGTTTTGTGGCCAAACACTTCAAAATTAAGACACTTCTTATGGCCTTTTTCAGCCAGTGCTTGGAGACAAATCGAGACAAAAGTACTATATGGCTGGGGAGAGAGAAATCACGTTTCAGAAAACTGATGAAGAAATAACTTTGGCCTAATTCTCTTCTGTCTTGCACGTAATTTACATACTTCACGCAGTTTATACAAAGTGATGTTACAGCCTCATTTTACCATCCCTTTGCATTGCTGCAAGTGATTGCACAGGGTAGAGGAGAATCAGGTCGCTTTATGCAGGAGTAAATGATCCCATAAGCTGCTACGCTGTAAATTCTGTGGGACAGAAACTGTCTTTTTGCTTTGATTTTGTAGCACCCAGCTCACAGAGGGACCCTGTTGCACTGTGAAACTAAAGCTCTTCCCAAGAAAAAATAAAAATATAAAAGACTGAAAAAAAAACCCATTTCCTTGCATGAAAAATAGCTTTTAGCAACACTGGGCCATTATAAAAATGAAACAATGCCCCTCCCTCCCAAAGTTGTAGGACTTGAACAAAAAGTAATGGCCAAATAAAGCCAAAACATCCTGCAAATACTCGGGTTTATGCACAGCCTGGTATTTCCAGTAATCACAAAGACGACGTTAACAGCCTTCATTTCAGGTCAGAAGAAAGATGACGACCTCCAAATTCAATTCATTGCATTGTTCAGCTGCTTTCAGTCAGTGTTACATTTTTAATCATTGAAGAAGTGTTGACTGAAGAGGTAAATGAGTTCACTTATCCGTGTCAAGTTCTTCAGCTCCAGAATGCAGTGGGGAGGTCAATACTAAAAACGTTAATAACTGCTCATAATAAATCTAGCACATTTTGGTAAACTGTGGAATACAGAACAGTTAAGACTGGCAAGGAACTCTGCAGGTCACCTTGTCCAAACGCCTGCTCAAGGCAGGGCTGACTCCAACATTACGTCAGGTTACTCAACACTTCTTCCAGTCGAGTTTTGAAAATCTCCAAGGATGGAGGTTCCACATACACCATATCAAACAGATGATGAATATCATTCTTATTAGGATGGGATTTCATGGAATCACAGCAAAACGGGATAAGAAGAGGTGATCAAGATGAGCCCTGAGACTCATTAAGTCCTGACAGGTGCATGTCCAATCATTCCTTCAAAATGTCTCATGACAGACTCCATGACACCTTTCAGCAATCTGCTCCACAGCTTACCTATTCATTCCTCCTTCTGATCCATCAGCAGATGAGTTACGATTACAACACAGGGCTACCTGGGAGGAGGATCCATGCCGATCCACCCTGCCCTCCCTTCTTCTCTCCCTGCTTTACCAACTACTGTTGTATCTCTGTCTGCACCATGCTTTGTCCTCAAGTACACCTTCCCCACTCCTCTGTGAAATTTCCACTCTTTCTCTTTCCCCTTAGTTCTCTCTTCCACCCTAACTTCCCTCCTTCCATCCTCCTTTCCCAGCTCTCGAGGCCTCACACCTCTCTGCCCCCTGAAAACATCACGACATGGCGTGTTGTTTGCTGTGGGGTTTCCACAGTCCTCAGGGGTCACTTCTGCAGCTGTGTCGCATCGTGGCTCCCAGCACTGGGGCACAGGGCACTGCACTGGGCTGGGGGTAGCACAGGGGCGAGGGGAGAAATATTCTCCTCTGCCTGCAGGGGCTGGGAAGGAAAGGGCAGCAACCGCCTGTCCTCGTTTCTCGGACTCTTTCAGAAGGAGGTCACCTTTGGTGGGATGCACCTCACCACACCTATCCTCATGGGAAGCCCCTGTACCTGAACTAGCGCCCCTTGGGATCCCTCGCCAGGAGCAGGAGGAGCAGGCGTGCTGGCAGTGACATTCCTTCAGCCCACTTCTGTCACCGCGGCCAGGTGACTCAGAGCACATCAGCCTCCCTTGCCCTCGGGGACCTCGGAGGAAGCCAGGGCACCAAGCCGTGCCCATCTGTCCTTCCCCAACACATCTCACCTCTTCAGGACAGCCCTTACAGCCAGCCAGCGCACACCCAGATGGGACAGCGTGAGGAAAAAGCCAAAGGAGGAGTTATTCTGAGAGAGGTGAGGAGAAAGGGCGCCGTGCCTCGGTCTCCTCACACCCTGCTCCCCCGCGCTGGGGTGCAGCCCTCTCCTTCAGAGGCCCCCCGGAGCAGACACAGCCTGTATTTCCCTGACAGATGCCCCGCAGGAGGCCAAAGCCTTCCCCCGACCCCACACACGGCTGCCGTTTACCCCCTCACAGCATCCCTGCTCTGAGAGAGGTGAGGAGAAAGGGCGCCGTGCCTCGGTCTCCTCACACCCTGCTCCCCCGCGCTGGGGTGCAGCCCTCTCCTTCAGAGGCCCCCCGGAGCAGACACAGCCTGTATTTCCCTGACAGATGCCCCGCAGGAGGCCAAAGCCTTCCCCCGACCCCACACACGGCTGCCGTTTACCCCCTCACAGCATCCCTGCTCCCCGACGGCTCCGACAGGCCGAGCCACCCTGACCCACTTCTCCGCCCGTCGGGGGCCCCGCCTGCTGC